ACACCCACACCCACACCCACACCCACACCCACACCCACCCACACCCAGACCGTGACAGAAAAATTGTAGTTATAAAGCATCAGATATACGGTTAGCTACAAATGTGTTGTAAGGAAATGGAACAACAGGATTCCCATTTTATTAGTAACAATAGGTTCATCGTGTTTCACATTTTTAATCCCGCAGGGATTGCGCTAACAGCTTTTTCTGAATAAACTTATCCTTTGTCGACTATTTGGGCGTGGGTGTGAGCATGAGTGTGAGACTGAACAATTGCTTCAATTACACCCACACTCTCAAGCCCCCGGATATCCATTTCTGTTACTGAAATTTATAACATGTAAATATTCGCTTTTGTTGTAAAATATTTCTAACAGTTGAATGTAAAAAATCGTTCAAGTTTATAAATGAAAATGACTTTATGGGCCATGGATATTTTCCCAACCTTAATTTTATAAAACTTTTCACATGTTTCCACAAAGGTTTGGGTTTTTTAAAATTATGATCAAAATATGCTGATACATTGACAGTCAAACTGTATTCTAGATTGCATAGAAATCAACTCGCAATGGCATCAGGAACTCGTGGAGTTCAAGAGCGACAACGTTTCCTCGATGTTGATAAAGAACCAAATAAACTATTAACTCCTCTTTCAATACCCGACACTGGAAAAAAAGGAATACAATCACTACGTCAATGTGTAATGCCTATCGTTAATTTAGACTTAGTTCCAAATTTATTAAATGCAGTAGCAGAATCATTAGACGTATGTAAAAAGCCGAAAGATGGCCTTACACAAGACCAATCAGCTGCATTGTATCTATACTCACTTCAACATCCATTTTATGAAAAGTTCAATGGTGTATTACGTAATGAAGATCGAACAAAAGCAGTACCTTTTTTTCATTATTATGAATTGTTTATGTGTACACTAAACAAGCTGCCACCAGTTAAAGGTTCTGTGTGGCGTGGTGTCACTGCAGATATCAGTGATCGATACAAGGAGGATAGCATCCATATATGGCAAGCTGCCAGTTCATGCACACAGAAAGTACATGTAACTGATACATTTCTTGATCAAGAGAAACATCGAACATTATTCAATATTAAATGCTTTAATGGAAGATCAATCAAAAATCATTCGCGTTATCCCAACGAGAATGAAACTATTTTACCTCCAGGTACTTGCATAAAAGTGATATCACGATTGAAGCTAGCTGATAAATGTTATGTTGTTGACTGTGAAGAAATTACACTTAGTCCTGAAGAACTAAATAATCTATTAACGGATACAACTTTTGCGTCACCTACAGTTGCTATAACAGTACCAATCTTGTATTTAATATGGGTTGATCAAAATGTTAATAAATCAAAAGAAAATATTGCAACACAAAAAGAATTACGTGCTTTATTTGAAGATGACTTTCAAACATTTGACAACGTAGACGAATGTGAAATGTCTATCCAACAGAAGACGCATGATCACATAATCTTAATTACTAGCGGACAAGCGGGTCGAAAAATTGTGGCCAATGTTCACGATTTATCACAGCTAGCCAGCATGTATTTGTATTGTTTCGACAAAGACTCAAATAAAAAATGGGCTAAAGACTTCTCGAAAGTTAGTAAACTACTTTATCCTGAAAATAGTAGAGCGTCCACATATAATCTTGATAAAAATATCGTTTTGCCAGCGTACAGTTTATCTAAATGAAAATTTTCGTTAAATTTAAGTGGCTTATATTATGAAAAACTTTTCTGGTACCCTTAAAAGATTACTTATGAACCAAAAACTATAAAGTACGAAATTTATACTTCATCAAGTATGGGTGTGGGTGTG